AAATTTTCCAAATTTGAATGCAGATTTTGAGAGAATTGCTCCAGAAACATTTAGAGGTATGCCACTTGAAATTCCGATTAAGATAAGTTGAGTTATGACGTTTAGAACTTCAGTCTTGGCACATTTTTGAATTTCTACAACATCATAACATCAGAAAAATTACAAAAAAATCAAAAAAAAATAAATTTCTAAATTTTAATGCAGATTGTTAGAGAATTTCTCCAGAAACATTTAGAGGTATGCCACTTCGAAATCCGATTAAGATCAGTTGAGTTATGGAGTATAGAACTTCAGCCTTCGGCTATTTTTGAATTTCTACAACATAATACATCAGAAAAATTACAAAAAAATCAAAAAAAAAAAAATTTCTAAATTTGAATGCAGATTGTTAGAGAATTGCGCCAGAAACATTTAGAGGTATGCCACTTCAAATTCCGATTAGGATAAGTTGAGTTATGGACTTTAGAACTTCAGTCTTGGCACATTTTTGAATTTCTACATCATCACATCAGAAAAATTACAAAAAAAATTTTTAAAAATAAAATTTTACATTTGAATGCAGATTTTTAGATAATTGCTTTACAAACATTTAGAGGTATGCCACTTCAAAATCCGATTAAGATTAGTTGAGTTATGGACTTTAGAACTTCAGTCTTGGGACATTTTTGAATTTCCACAACGTCAAAGGATCAGAAAAATAACAAAAAAAATTAGAAAAAAAAATTTTACATTTGAATGCAGATTTTAGAGAATTGCTCCAGAAACATTTTGAGGTATTCCACTTCAAAATCCGATTAAGATAATTTGAGTTATGGACTTTAGAACATCAGTCTTGGGACATTTTTGAGTTTCTACATCATAACATCGGAAAAATTACCAAAAAATTTAGAAAAAATAAATTTTCAAATTTGAATGCAGATTTTTAGAGAATTGCTCCAGAAATTTAGAGGTATGCAACTTCAAATTCCGATTAAGATAAGTTGAATTATGGACCTCGGCTATTGATCCTGATCAAGAATATATCAACTTTATATGGTCGGAAACGTTTCCTTCTGCCTGTTACATACTTTTAAACGAATCTAGTATACCCTTTTACTCTACGAGTAACGGGTATAAAAGGATAATAAAAATTGAATAGCTCGAGGGGGTAGCCTTAGTTTTTTTCAACGATTGCCAATTTTATTAGGGGGTGCCGCTTAGATTTTGTGGTCCTAAACGGATTTATGCCCGTTCGTAATTGATCTGTTCACGAAATTGCCACGGCGATAAGCCATTCGATAGCAACTCGCCTTAAGTACGAGCATATCTCACAATGGCGACTGCTGATGTCATTGCTGACGCATTGCGTATACGCAGCGTGGGACTGCCATTAGTTGGTGTCCTTTGAACCGGTTGCTGAATGGGAATTCGAATGGGAGTGCATACAGCTATCGTGCTGCGACCCTTATTACATTAAAATATTTGACACAATTGCAGCTTTATGGCAATTTGCAAATTGCATTGCCACCCGCGGAGTTCGCCTTTCGATTTGGCAGTGCGTTGACTTTGTCAGGTGCACACACATTGTGTGATGTGTGAGCTGTGTCATTTTGAATAATTTCAGAGTGCGTGACAACATTTTTTGCCTCGCCTCGCATGCAAGTCAATCAATTTGTTTGGTGAGAAATATTGAAAAGTAATTTTACTCGACGCTTTTCCCACATGCATACAATGTTCTGGGCTTAAAGTTAGCTGAATTCGGTAAAGCCACTAATAAATTGATTTAGCAAGCGTGTGATTTTCAGGGATTTCCTCAACGCGATTAAAGCAGTAAAATAAATTCACCAAAGCTCGATTCACTTCCGAGCCGAGGTCATAAATCAAACTGTCTAAAATGGCATACATAAATTCTCATACTGGAAAAGGCATTTGCGATGAAATTAACACGCTGCGGCCCAGGACAACGTATCGTTTGCTGTGATTAATGCAACGCGGCGTATGCGTAACGTTTCGCTAGCTGTCTTTATTAATGGACGCTGATTTGCACATAAAGCAGCGCACATACATATGAGCCGAGCGATAAAATGTAGCCATGGGCATGGGGAGCCGGGAACTCAGAGCAGGGAACTGGTGGCCTACAAGGTGCTGGGATTAAACTAGATAGCTGCTCAGCAGCTCTGCAGCTCCCTTGCCTCATGGTTGTGGCTTCTTGGCTGGAGCAGCTTCCCTCCTTCTCTCCTTCATCCCACATCCAACATCCCCCTCCAGCTTGGGCTGCTCCGCCTGGGCATTGTTGTAGAGTCATTAAGGTGTAAATTATACCACTAATTAGCCATTAAGTAGCAAACGGCAGAAGGCAGCGTTTAAGCACGTACATTCCAAAACAAAACGAGTTCTGCGTGCTTTGAAGGACTAGCAACTATATGGGTGCAATAAAATTTAATGAGCATATAAAATGTGAGAGTGAAAAGTAAATTCTCTAGCTCAAATCGAACAGTAATGTGGGTAGAGCTTAAAGGTGTCTCGGGATTACCAATCCTTTGGTAGTAACGCTGTACATATCGAACCAGAACCAACCAGAGTTGAATAACAAAGCAAGTGCGGGGAAAGCAGCAGGAATAGTTTGAAAAAATATTGAATTCTTGAGACATAAACAAAGTGTAGAGGAGCAGCAACTCCGGCGGACTATTGAAGCAGAAAATCGAAAATTTATACAAATATGTTGAAAGAGCAGGGAAAAATAGAGCAGCGCTTTGGCGTTCGGGAAATGTGCAACGGCGGCAACAAAAGGAGCAGTAGTCCTTGTCTATGTCCGTATGCCCGTGTGCGTGTGTGTGTGTGTATGTTTGTGTGAGTGTTTGCCATGGCAAAAATTTGCATTTATTTGCTGAGGGTATGTTCAAGTGTGCAACGAACTGTGCTTGAGTAGAAGACAGGCAGAGAGCCAGTGCAATCAAAGGCAAAGCCGCCACCGCCGAGATCGCTCCTTCAGCTCCTTTTGCTCCTTTCAGTTGCTGGTACTGGTGCTGGTGCTTGGTGCTGCTCCAGTTTTAACTTGGCCAGCGGCGGTTCGTGTCCATTGCATCCATGGCTTCCTTTTGCCGTGTCCATCTCCGAAAACTGCACAAGACAAATGTACTCGCACAGCTGACCCTGCAGCCAAATCCCGGCCAGAGATCCATCGGAGCAGATCCTTCTAGACGGCAGCAGCGTCTTTGATTGCTTTTAAAGAGCTCCCTTCTCGAAATGGAATTTACCATTGGTCGCTGGCAACTTGTAAATTCAAATAAGCTCAACCCCCGTCATCTAGCTGGCCCCCTCCTGTGTTTTTCATTGCGTCATGCTGCATAATGAGCTGCAAAATCTTTGCCGGCTTACATGGCGTGTGAGTGACATTTAATTTGCCGACGACAGCGTTCGGATAAAACACAACTACCGCCCTGGCGCAAATCATCCTTTAAGCTGAGCACATAATTGGGCTACAGTTTTAAAGGAAAGGGTTCGTGGTGCCACTTGAATGCAAAGCCTCCGTATAGTTAATAAAAAAGGCAAATTTCCCACCATACGTAAACAAATCAGAACTCGCCTAATGTATCAGATGTATCCTCTCCTATCCTAATGTATCCTATGCAACTTGTGAATGAAGATTGTTTATTGTATGAAAGTCAGCTCCTAGGAGCACTTAAATCCTACTGAAACTGGAACCGGATCCAGCACGCGTTTTACAGCTAATAATAAATGACCCGAGGTTGCTTGTCGTCGACCACGTTTTTCAGCCGGGCACGTACGCATAAATTTCGACAAGGTCGTTGAATATCCTTTTTTTCATGCCATTTCTGCCCATGCCAGGTGGGTTCCTCCTTTGCGTCCCCTCGCGTCGACACATAAATATAATGACCAGCTATTATGGCCGGTTGGATCGGCTTACGGGCACGGCAAATGGCAAACGGCAAACACATGTTTGTCAGTCGGATAATGTGCCAAGTGTAACATATTTTAAATAATTGATGAGCGAACCCGACCCAGCAGCTGTTCCTGCTCCTGTTCGTCGCTGCCCATCAGCCTGCCTGCGGATATCCAGTTCCTGACCCCTACTATATATTTGCATGGAAAAGCCTTCGTCTGCCCATCAATTAGACGCACTCGTCGCCGTCGAGCCTGCCGACATGGCTGTCACTTTTTGCTGTCGACGGCAGAGGAGCAGGGAGTTACCAGCTGGAAATGCCTTTGGCTCATCCGTTTTCTTGCCGCAGGCGGTGCATACATTACAAGCACTTCAATTTCCGTCTGCCAGTCAGTCCACTTCAGAGGTCCAGTCGAAGACTGATTCTGAATCAGTTTTTTCAGTTTTTCCCCTAGAAAAGGGGTTACTTTCCCGCACCAGACAACTGTAATCAAAGCAAATTAATTATCTATGTCCTTCGTTGTGCGCACTTTTTCAGCCATCTAGCTTATATACCTTTCAAGCCTTTCATGTCCGGCACAATGTCGTCTGCCGTTGACAGGAGGGTCCACTCAGCTGTCTGCTCCGATCTCGGTGGCGGCAAAAGGCAAGAGTTAAATGCCGGGCATCGATGCCTGGCTTATAATTCAATGTGCAGCCGCAGTCCAGCACATATACTCTCACAAGTTCCAGCAAAATCCTTTATTCCTTCATTCACTTTCGTCGCGCACAAAAGTAGACTACAAAAAATGGCAATGCGAAAACAATGACAGGCACGGCAAATAAAGGACATGCAGGAATTACACAGAGAATGTGAGAGAGAAGTAACAGATGAGCCTGCCGATTGGCTTTCATCTAAATTTTTAATTAATATTTACACTAAGAAAAAACTACTTGCTCTAAGGCAAAGTTAAATAAACCCAAAGATCAACAATAAATTGTCATTTATTTTAAGTTTGTTTCTAATATTCATTTTGATTTGACTTAAAACTTGTTTTTCTGAGTGATTTTATTTTCTTTTGCTTAAAGTGAAACTAATTAAGTTAGTTAAGTGAATCTCTTTTGCCATGCTGGAATCTGATTAAAGTGCCAGTTCCTATTCGACATGCGACTCCTAATCACATGCATTTTGCCCATCCTTGGGCTGGACTACAGCGCATCCATGTGGATAAAAAAGTACTCGGAGAACTACCACCGACCCACTTACTACAATCGGGCCCACAGAAGCAAGGACCACGTGGATTACAATCGCGAAGCTCTCGAGGAACGGGACAAACCGAAACCGGTGGAGGTCCACAAACGACTTCCCTTCGATGCGACGAGGGACTTGTCCTACTACGTGAACGTGCTGAACGAGGGATCCGTCATCTGTGCTGGTGCGCTGATCTCCCGCAGGATGGTCATGACCTCAACGCACTGCTTCCCGCCGCGGAGATACGATGTCATATATGAGTACACGGCCCAACATCTGTCCATACTGACTGGCATGGAATTCGCCAAAAATCCGGATCCGCATAAAGTAATCGGATTTTTCATGCCGGTTAATAAGAAGGAACGGGATACCAACCACGTCGCTCTGCTCGCCCTCTCAAATAAGCTCGACCGTGACCATTACCGATACATTCCCCTGCATCGCAAGAGGCCACAGGAGGGGGATGACGTACAGATGGCCTACTACGGTCCACCCAAGTACCAGATCAGATTGTACAACACGCGGGTTCTGGGCTACGACCGCTGCAGAATCTATTACAGTCTAAAGGAGGTATTCCATATTTCCACCATTGAGCCGGACTTTATCTGCGTGCGGAACAAGCGGCACTCAAAGAAGACCACCTGCAGCACTCGGCCCGGGGATCCCTTATTGGTTGACAACAAACTGGCGGCCATCAATATATACGGAGAGCACTGCGACGAGGACGACGACTCCACCAACATGGACATATACCTACCCATTAGGACGGTCATACCCTTCATCCAGACGGCCACGGATGCACTGAGAGCATTCACCGGATCGGGTCCATACAATGAATCGCACGGAGGCACATTGTCACCCCTGCTTGAGTCCTTGGTGAAAAGGTCGCCCAATGTTTATGTTGGCGGCCCTCTACCGGAATTAGCTTTTGATGATCCTCTTAATGGGGGAATAGATCGTGAGCCCGAGAATTCCATAGAGAAACATATTGCAGCCGTGCTTGATTATTATTAGTTCCTTTCAGAAGCAATGCTATGGTTTATTAAAGACACGTTCTATTTTAACTAGTGTACAACAATATTATATGTTAAGGTTGCAAATAGTTAAATGTCACAAAGGTATTACAAATCAGTTGTAGGCATCACAAATTGATTTTATAAACAATATGGTCAAGTCAAAAGATATGCTTAGTACCAGAGACTTATTGAGTAACGATGCTGCGACTACTCTGCATTATTCAAATCCTGCTACTTGCTTTTCTGGCGATCGAGTCGGAATCTAAGAACACTCATCTCCATCGCTATATGCTGGACAGCTATAAGGCGCAGCACAATCCAAAGACCCAAATGGACTACAAACGACGTCGTACTGTGAGCAGAGATGACCCGACGGCATCCGCTCCCAATAATAACACAGTAGAGTATGGACATTCCAAAGAGCCCATACTTACCTTGACCAAATCTGACAGGAAGGTGCCGCTGCATGAGCTGATGGTTAGGATCTATCAGCAAAACAAGTATATCTGCATGGGCACACTGATATCCGAGATGCTAGTGATTACCGCTTCCACTTGTTTTGATGATGACAATAATGATGTGGTGACAATGAAGATGTTCGACGACGAAGCCCTCGATGGGAAGAAGGTGGCTCTCAACCAGACCTACCTGAAAGGAGCGGATCCCATGCTGGTTGCTATTCAACTAACCAACTCCCCGAAAAATTCCCAAGTGACTGGCGACACTGTGAAGCTGTGCGACTCCGAGCTGGAAATATACGAGCCCATCGACCTGCCACTGTGGATCAGGAGTCGCCACAGTATTCACTCGCAGACAACGTACACCATACCGATTCAGGCGTGCCGACTCCGCATGAGGGATCCCGAAGCGGTGATTGCCACCGACACCATGATCTGCGTGAAGAACATGAAGTATACGGCCCAGTGCCAGATGGCCATCGGGAATCCCCTGGTCCACGACGAACGCATCTGCGGCATCAATGTGGCTGGTCACAACTGTCCCACCTTCACGGGCGTGAATCTGTACATCAGGGTATACGATGCTCTCGCCTTCTCGATAATGGGCTTGAAGATGATTAAGGACTACCGCATCGAAGATACCGTTTTGTAATGGGTTGGGTCCCACTGTTAAATATATAATAATAAAAATATTTCCTTTATTTTGTTTAGTAATGTTTAAGTTAGTTGCACAAAAATATAGTATCCAGTATAGTTACTACTATATGTCCCATGCCAAATTGATTGTTAATAATCGGATTAACAATCGGCAGGTGTGGTAAATTGCCTTTCGAAACGTACGGCAATAGAAGTAGTCAGTTTCTTACAATACATCGCCATGTTGAAAGCTGTAGTATTATTGCTTTTGGCTTTGCTGCACTTTTGCAAAGGCGAAAAAGTACCTACTTCTGGAGTAAAACACCACAAGATGAGGTATATGAAGGACGATTGGCGTCCACACTTCGGGTACAAGCCAAGCCACTACGGTAGTTCGCATGGATGATTCCATTGGGTTATTTTCCTAATATAATTGAATTGTGTATATTAAATAATTCAAAATAGCGAAGTATAAATCTTTCAATTGGTCCCCTTCATTGTCTGAGGCGTTACAAATAACTTGATTCAGTAATCCATAGTCAGTTTTCACTATGGATATGTTAATGAACTGCAAGGATCCTCATTTTCCTGGTTTTGTGTAAAACTTTCTGCGGTGTAAACATCTTGGGATACAAGTGTCAAGTTTCCAGTAAACGAATGTCTGCCAAAGAGGAGGCAATTAAAATATATATTTGTAAATACCACCTTTTTTTGAATAATCAGCATAATCATCGAAAAAAGTCATTTAAAATACAAATAAATACCCGTTTCCATAAAAACATCAATAGTTTAACCTGTAAAATTGAAAGAACCATGCGGTGAATGCTATTTTTGGCAAGATAATATCGTAATCGCCTTATTTATTGTTCAATTTGTTTCTTTTAAATTGAACCGTTTCCCGACTAAGGTCCGACCTGCGGAGATCAAATGAAAACCATTTTTCGTGTGCCGTAAATATGACATTAAATTGTTCTGCCTCATTTCCGTTCGGCTGACTGAGGTCCAATCAAATTAATGAAAAATTTCTGCCTCCGCCGCCGCCGCTGCCAAATCAAAGTTGCCTAACGACAAGAATCATGAAACGCGCAGACGCTTAGCAATATTTGCCGGAAATGTCCTTTGGCTCAGAGTCATTGACGAAAAATCCAGCCGAATGAATGGCAAGAAACTGTACAAACACTGAGATGAAGTGGCAGTGGCAAAAAACCTTTTGTACTGCAGCGATAATGTCATCAACTAAAGTACTCCGTCGGGCATAGTGAAAAGTTCTAGTCAATCGCCATTAAGTACATAATGTGACGGGGAGACTGGGAATCAGATACATTCGGTCATGTTGACAGGCGCATACAAACTGTGTAAACATCATTAAAATGGTTTTACTCCAAGGACCTTCCCTCCCAATATCGAAATCGAAATGGAAAATCATTGAAATTATATTTTCGTCCATGTGTTCTGTTTACATTTTAGGTGTTCCCTTTTGATCTTCCCGCTGCGATTTGTGCCCCTTCCAAGGAGCGAGGTCCTTGCAAATTAGCCGCATATCACTTTATGGAAAAAGCTCTTTCGTAAATTAAACTAAATAATTCAAGGGCGCGACCGCAGTTCATAAAATGGCCGCAACAAACAAAGCACAACATTTGCGCCTCGCCATCTTTTGTTTTTGCAAATATTTAAAGCTGACACACACGCACTTCTAAGCGAATATGTGGCTGCAGCTGGATATGGAAATGTTTGACAAGAAAAATGCGGTCGTCTGCTTCGGGGGAGAGCCCAAACAATGTCAAGCGAAAAAATGAAATCGTACACTCCAAGAAAATGTTGGTATCCAGAAGGTTAACAATCAAGGAAACTATATTTTCCGTTCAAATAAAATGAAAGCCTATGCTGTTTACATTATAAATACTTTAATTAAAATGATAAATTGATTTCATGTATGACAAGAAACTTCATTAGCAAATACTCTATCCACAATTTTTCTTTCTGCAGTTAAACGCATTTGTATGTGTGCGCACGTCCTTGGCCGTCAACTGTGCGGGTGTGTGTCAGTGTGTGCGTAAAATTTTACGATAATACGCAACAATTTCAGAATGAGTGCACCCTGCTAAGCGGCCTGGACTGCTGAGCATTTCGAGTGCAAAGAAAGCAATTTCCTCAATATTCTTTATGGCTAACAGGAGAAGGCGAGAGAGAGAGAGAGAGATGAAGAGACTGGAAGGAGTGAGTGGGACAGGAGGCAGGGGCACTGCTTGCTGGTTTTTTGTTATTATTTTCAAAGTTCCATAAGCCGCTTGCTAATAAAATTTTAGAAGCCTGTGCTGGGCTATTAACATTATCATAACAAACACACAGCCCAGCGCATGTGTGCGTGTGTGTGAGAGGGTCCTTATAATAATCATTGCCCACACTCACATTTACAGTCACACATCCACTCACCCACACCGACAGGCATTTACATGCCACTTAGGCATTGTCGCCCATTCCTTGTGACTAGCGTTGCGTATACGCCGCGTTGTGCGTGCGCCTTATAATTCATTTATTGGCATAATTTCGTTTTATTTTTATTTGTTTTACGGCTCTTGCGATTGCCTTTGATAGGAGCTGCGATGTGCGAGAAAAAAGCGGCAAATTGAAAACATATTGAATATCGAATTTGGTCTCCTTGGACGCCCTTGAATTGGCCGCGCCACCTAATTGCTAAGCTGCACACGCGACCGGGCATACAATTAGGTGTCCTGGTTGCTGCAGGGGCATCCTGCTGTATCCTGGGGGCCACCTGGCGACCCGGCTACCCTGTGCATTCATTACAAAGCACTTTAATTCGCTCGAGCTTGAGCGCATAGATCACGCCCGGCTTAATAAATTCCCACGCCAACGGCAACCGAAAACAAAAGAATCCTCGGACGTCGCTGCCACTCAGTGGGGGCGTATGTCTTACCTGGCACCAGCTGGAATTGGAGCTCCGGCTACGGCTACGGCTCCAGCTCTGTCTGCACACTTGTCTGGTTTGTGGAGACGTGACTGGAAAAATGCATTTCCGCTGCACGTAAAATCCGGGGAAGAGCCAGAAAAAAGCACGGCAAACCGAGAGCGAAGAGGAAAACGAGAGGCACGTAAGTCAATCAGCAACTGGGCAGCAGCCACCGCCGCACAGGAGGAAGGACAAAGGGCAAAGGACGAAGGACGAAGGACCCAGGTCCGACCTAACAACTAAGTATATCCCTAATGCAATGCGGAAGTCACACTCCAATTTGGCCCAGGCATGGCGTCTGATTTTGTTGCTAACTGAATGAGTTACTTCCGCTTTGCCTAACAATTTTAAATAAAATCACATCACTGATGGAGAAGGCGGGCCTTCCGGTCTATCCCGGCAGCAAACTCGGACACTAACCAATATGGACAATGGTGTCTGGTGAGTGTGTGTATATCCAGTTTCCCCATTTTTTTTTCCCTCCTATGGACAGAGACATGGATGTGAATCGTAACCGACGCGACGCTGGCCTTTGAAATATTTATGGCAGCTACAAAAGGCCATAAAGAGGGAATGCCAATATGCGAGTGAGTCCGCTGGCCATTTGGTAGCCAATTGAATTCACTCCGGGGCAGATGTATTTGCCATGAACTGATTGACATAGGAAGCAGTCTATATTTGCAAGTCCATCATATTATAATGTTACCGAGTGCAAATCAGCAGCAATTATGTTTCCCGTTCGGAAAAATAAAACAAATCAGTATAAAATGAGTGGGTGGAAAATTGTGCAAATCATTACACTCAATTAATTGGGATGGTGAAAATATGAAATGCAAAATATTTTCACCCCAGTACACACACACACACACAGCAAATAAAGCAATTATAGTGCAAACATAATTTAAACAAATGAGAGTGCATTCCATTACCCGTGGCGAAACTCGAATTACAATGATCTAATAAACGATGTTTCTGCTTTACGGCTA